AGTAAATAAGAATTGTGAAACAGCACCCTCCAGACTGGTAAGTTCTTTGCAGGCCAAGAGCCAGCATGCCATGTCTTTTCTAGTTCCCATGGCCCTGAGCTCATACCTGGGCTCAATGGACAGTGGACACTAAGAAGGAGTCTCATACATTCTGGCCACTGTCTTCCTTAGCTTTAGGGAGGCTGGAGGTACACACTTTGTATCCACTACTCCACTAATTGTATCAGACATCTCAGGGCTAGATAAAGGGAGTTTAAACTCTGTAGAAGTTATACTGAAGTAAACTGAATGACCCTAGGTAGTCCTTGAAGCTGAGGTTTCACCTTATGCAAAAGGCAAGAAAGAATGAGGAGGTATACATATCCTTACTGCCTTCTCACTAGAGAAGCCGTATGGCAGCCTTGATTCTCCACTGAATGGCTCAAAAAGAAAGTGTTTTTATCTTCTGAGTGAGTTAGAGCTTCCAGATAGTTAAATTTGTAGCTTACTGTAAAAAAGAATGGGTGGTATTTTAAAAAAAAGATCTTAAGACATAAAATACATAAAACTATAGGTTCCCTGAATGTTGTAACTAACATGGATACTCCCAATCCATGTGTTTGCAATAAATATGCTAGAGATTTTGAGTAAGTTGCTTAACTTTTTATGCTGCAGTTTTGTCATTCATTCATTCATTCAACATTCAACATTTATTTAAGAGCATACTACATAGTATTGTAGAAAGAAATCTTATGGGAAGAAATAAAAGAAACTATCTTAATCTTGCAGACTAGTAAGTTACTGTCACCTAAGTGAGACAATGCAAATAAAACATGGAGGCAGAGACTGCTAATGCTCTCCAAAATCTGACTCTTCTTCTTCCAAGGCACACAGCTAGGCTACATTTCCAGCTTCCCTTGCTGTTACATATGATCATGTGATTTCATTCTGTCCAATGGAATATAAGCGCTCTGATAAGTACCATCTCCAGGCCTGACCCATGCCTGGCCCTCATCTTCTTCCACCATCAGCAAGCTGATGGAGAGGACTCTGAGAACTAAGAGGAGGGCACGGTGGCAACATGGAAGGAGCCTTGGTCTCTAAATGTGGCATGGGAGCCTGGGCCCCTGACAACTTGAACTAGACTGTGATAAGAAAAATAAGTAAGTTGTTATTCTTAAGTCACTGAGATCTGTAGGTTTATTTGTTATAGTAGTTACGTTAAGGATTTGTAATTTACCTAATATAAAGCCTTCGCAATATCTGGCCTATTGTAAGCACTAAATAAATGATATGATAGCCATTTAAAAGTATATTTCTAGTTCTTTTGCTATAGGCTTCATAAGACCAAAAAGAAAAAGAAAAAAAGAAACTAGGAAGGAAGGAGGGAAGACAGGAAGGAAATAATACTGAGGTCTTTTAAAAAGCTCTGTATACGTTTTATACCTGGATGCCATTTGGTCATCCACAACCATAGGGAAGTATTTTCCAAGTGCCAAATCTTCTCCATAACTAAATACAATTTTGATGTGGACCTGTGGTGCCAAGGGCCTCCTCTAGGCTATCCTGGGCTGCAGCTGTCACTCGGCCTGGCTGCCTGCCCCACATCAGATCACTGCAGCACCTGCTTTGGACGTGGCCCATAGGGGTGGGGAAAGCACTTAGCCATGATTTTGCCAAAGCAGACATTAAAACTGGGAGAAACGCTCCCATGAGATATAAGGTCTGGTCACATGTGGAGGTCATTTGGCAGAGAAAGACAGATGTCAATTTGGGGGCTAATCTTCCTGGAGTGAGAGGAGGTGAGCTCTAGGGATGCGATATTTACACAGCTAGTCACTAGAGGATCAGCATTCTCAAGTATTCCGGTAAACGAAATGAACCTCTTCTTGCTATTTAACAAAAGTCAGCTCTTCTCCTTTGTATTTTTAAAACTACAGATGTAATACATGTTTATTGTCACAAGTTGTCTATGTAGAGGTATAAACAGAAAAAGTTAATTTTCCTCTCTTTCATCTTAAATTATCCCTGTCCCCTAGGTAATCAATATTATCAATTTAGCTTTTGTCTTTCCCCATTTATTCCACCTTCAGACAAACCAATGCACATTTTTAGAGTTAATCCATCCAACTTTGACCTTTTTTGTAACATAAACAGTACTACACAATGTGCATTCCTATTCAAATGTCTTTATTTAACCGAACAATTTATGATGAATATCCTCCCAGGTGGATATATTTAGCTCTAACTTATTCTTTTCAAATAGCTGTATAATGTTACCTGGGAGAAAGAGCTATTACATATTTGCTGGATTTCAAGACATCATCCATTTTAAATGTTAATAATGGCTGGAGTTTTTTTGGAGGGAGGTGAAATGTTAAATAGACCAAATTATATGAGGAAACATTCTGACTTAAAATGGTCAAAAGTGTATAGGAAATATATGTGTGTGAAATTACACAGAAACTAAGAAATTCTTGAAATCATACCGTGACAATAGCCTCCACAGTCCTTCAAGGGTGTGTCTGAAGCAAGTTCTGGTGTGAGGAACTGGGCTTCTGACTAGGTCTTGTAACAGGAGCCCCTCACAGGAGTGGCTTTGGCCCTCTAGGAAGTGCCTTGGCCTGACCTGACATGCAGCATCTCTCTTGGGTGATTCTTTTGTAGCACCACTGTCTTGCCACTTCTCAAATCTGGCTCACCAAAGGAGGGAGGGAGAGAAGGCCCTGCTGGTATCAGCATGCAGATCACACAGCCTCCTTTTGTTCTCTGGGCTGAGGTCAGATAGAATAAATCAATCAGCCTCTGCTTCCAAAGTCCTTCAAAATCTGGGAACCTTCCACTTTGAGTGTGCACTGCCCATCTCTGCATCACCAGTTAGAGTCAGCAAGGGCAAAAGCAAACCAGGAAGCCCCTTTGGGCAGTAAGCCACTGCTCCCAGGAGCCCACCAGCTGTGAGGGTTCTCTGTATATTCCCAAGGTACTCAGATAATTAGGTGGGAGTCAAGACTCTGTGGTCCAAGAAGACACATTGCTAATAGGAGATGCCATTTCTGACCATTTGCTCTACCAGACCTGTGCTTAACTTAACATATATCCTTTGATCCTCCCTGCATTCTGTGAGGCAGGCATTCTACAGATGAGGAAGCTGAGGCTCAGATTCTATGGTTTGCCGAAGACCACGCATCTTCAGGGAGTCAGCAGCATGAAAGCGGGCTTCCTCATTTAGCTACACAGCCTGGCTTTAACTGTAGGTATCCTGGACTGCCTGCAGTTTCCCTATAGGAGTCCTCACTACCTATGCCCAGCTGTGCCACCAATAGATACATCTTTTTCAGGCCTCTGAGTCCATGAGACTTGGACCCTAGTTGCACCCTGCAGGACACAGCTAAATAGCTCTACTGTAACCCAAAGAGACACTCAAATGCAAAGCCTTTCAAGTCCACTCAAGTGTTCTGACCAGAACGACAAGGTTTTAGACAAAAGTGGGCCCTAAAGATCATCCTTGCCAGCCCTCTCATTTTACAGTTAAAGAGACAGGGCAGTGGCAGTTGGGGTGGGTGACAGCTGGCTGTGGTGGAGCAGTGACAGTAGTGGCCAGTCAACAGGATAGCGCAAGGTTTGCAAACTATGGCCTGTGGGCCAATCCAGTCCTCCCTGTTTTTGTAAAGAATATTTTTTGGGGGCACAGGGACACCATTTGTTTGCAGAATGTGTGTGGTTTGCTGTATGCTACAACATCAGAGTTGAGCTGTTGGTCTCAACATCTAAAATATTGACTGTCTGGCTCTTTACAAAAAAATGTCTGCTGATTCCTGGGAAAGACAGAGGCATGCAGATTGACAAAAGTTATCGACATCTTTCTTGTTCTTAGAGTAAGTGTAATGTTCACAGGTGTTTGCTATATTGTGACATATTAGTGACTGAATGCTATATATGGTCCCATGTTATCCAGGAATAATTACTATTAAATTCTGTGCACCTGAAAGCAGACAGATAGGAAAAAGTCAGGGAAGGAAGGGAGGAAAGAAGGAACCATTTAGTCCTTACTAAGATTTAAATGGCTCTTTGTTGCCTACTTGACTTTTTCTCATTGTATTTCCAATGCTCAAAGTATGCTGGAGAGAAGACTGGGTGAGGACAAGGTTGAGTCAAACGCTAGCAGCATATAGAAGTCCTGGAAAGTACTCTCCTGGGTAATTGTGACCATTTATGAAGGCACGTTGGGCCATGACATGTATTTCTTTACGTAACCCTTGGAACAATCTTATGAAGCAAGAACCACTGTTATCCCCATGTTAGAGGTGAGGACATGAGGTTCCTGGTGGGCAAGTTACTTGCCTGGAGACATCAAGCTGGTGAATGGTAAAGCCAAATTCAAATCCAGACCCAGTTGATTCCAAACCCCACACTCAACTACTTATTACTCTGCCTTGGGCCAGGGACCCCATTTCACGCTGCCCCAAGTAAAGCCTGGCTTTTACCTTTTTCACATGTATCACCATGGGCACGCAGAGCACTTTGGTGTATTGAAGGGCAGCTTTGACATTGAAACCCCACCTCAGCAAAGGGTGGGCACTTGCACTTTCAAAGAAACGTTCCAGTCCCTGGTGGGAAAATTTCCAACGGTTTCAATTAGAGAACAGTCACAGTTCATTGACGCCTGATGCTCACAGGGGCAGTTTTATTGTTTCATATGTGAAAAATGAGGAAAGGGCCAGAACCTCAGCATCAGGGAAACGATGAAAGATTGAGAAGTATTTCCAAAGGCATGCAACCAAAAGGTCAATTCAAGGAGGGGAGGGGCAGGAGGGGAGGTGGGGAGCAAGCAAAGAAGCAGCTGAGAAGTATTTGTGGCACCAGGGAGAAGAGACTGTGATGTCCACGAAAGGAAACCATGGCTATGAATTTCAGGGCATCAAGACCCTGTCAACAGAGCTAATCCCCACGGATGCTGGCTGAATAAGCCTTCGATGACCAAACAGTGCACTGTGGAAACCGTGTCAGCCTCCAGCAGGCCAATTTGTCCTCATATTACACACTCTGCTGGCTCTGTTGCTAGACCCCCAGATCGAGGATCCACAACAAGCAGCCCCCAACCCGAGGAGGGTTGACACAGCATGGTTAATAAGTCAACAGAATTCAGAAACCAGGACCGGATTAAGAAGGCAGTTTTATTTTGGTGCCCTGGACTTCAAGCAGATTAAATAATCAAAAAGCCTGAGCCATTGGGGTCATGTTTGAATGCTACAGCTGTTCACTGAGGTTTGACAAACATTCTTTCTGTGGTTTGTCGTCTGAATGGGAAAGGCAGCGATGATCTTGGGGAGGGCGATGCTTTCAGAAAGAAGAGGGGGAGCACAATCAAAAGATCCTCTTATGGAAAACAATCCCAGCCAGATGGAGACAGAGGAAGGGCTGCTTAAATGAGTGGTCTCCTGAAAGCGACAACTGTTCACCGCATTGAAGAAAAGCACAAGCAGGATCAGAAAAAAGTGAATGAAAAACTGGACCCTCGGTTGGTGGATCTGCAAATTAATAAAGGTGGGCTTCAGTTTCAGCGGGGAAGCCTGTGGAGACTCAGTCATGGAAGGTGAGCCATGATTAATCCCCTTGCGCTTTAGGAAGTGGGACCCCGTCAGGAGGGTATCTGTGGAAAGCTTATTTTCAAGTTGTTTTTCTCAAAAGACCAAACAGACGTAAAAAAAGTCTCTGATGGAAAGATTTATGTTTGAGCCATGTTGGGTCAGAGGAAGGGGGTGGGGACCAATGTACCCAGTCATAAACAGATATGCAGTTGGCCTGTCACGGGCCATTTCATAGAAAACACAGTGCTTTAAGTTAGAGTTCATATATCATCCCCTGGTAGGGGTGGGAGTGGGATGATTTTTTGCAACTGATTAATGATTGAGACCCACAGCTAAAGTGAAGGATAGCAACTCTTCTCTGAGCACATGATGTTTTGGCATTTAGAGGAGTCATTAAGATCATTTGCAAAATTATAGAAAGGAAAACAAGGATTTTGCTCTTTTATATTTTGGAAGAGGGAAGGGGACTGTGATGTTTTGCATCCCTTGAGCCAAGCTATACAGAGCAGAATCTCCTTCAGATGGCTCTACAAACAACTTCCCTATTGCCCTAAAGCACTGTCCACAGCAGCAGAGAATTGAAGGGACAAGGGGGCAAAGGCTCCATTTCATCTGACAGCCACATTGTACACTTCCCCAGTTAAAGCCAAAAATAAATAGACAAACAGACAAACCAAAAAACCTCTCTCAAGAGCTTTCTTAATGAGTAGGTAATTATCTTGAGTTTTAAATATTATTGCCTGGCCCTGTGAATTCCTTCTCCAATTTAACAAAATGCTTTTGATGGATGTTTGCATGTTTTAAAATTCAAGTCTCAGGAAAAAAGAGGGGAGTTATAGAGCTACATTGGAGACTGACCTAACAATATCTAAGAATGTCAGCTCAGCATTCTCTCTGAACCTTTCAAGGAGGCTCCTGTTGATTGTAGAAACCCTTGTCCGCATTTCCGCATGGCCAAGGAGCTCTGTGCAAGGATGCCTTCTGCAACATCGTTTGTCATGAAAGAAACTGCAACAACTCAAATGCTCGTCAGGACAGGAGTGGCTAAATATTAAATCTGGCATGGCCTCACCATGGAATACACCACAGAAGTTAGAAGGAATGAATGAGCTCTCTATATATCCACGTGGATAGGTCAGTTTTGAGTGACTAGAGTAAACCGCAAAACGAAACATGCTGGTGATTACATTTATGTCCATTTTTAAAAGCCGCTATGTAAAACATCATGTAGCATGTGCATGTATGTTTGTGTTTGTGTGTGTGTATAAAAGTATTTACATGAAGTAAAGCACAGCAGGTAAGAACCGTGAGAGATGCTGGAAGCAGACTGCCTGGGTTCAAATCATGATTCTACTACTTACTATCTGTGTGATCTTGGGCAAGTGATTTAGCTTCTCTGGGCATAGTTTCATCACTTTTAACATAGGCATAATAATAGATCCAAAATTACAAGGTTATGAAGACTTAATTAATTAATATATATAAAGCACTTAAAATGGTGCCTGGCTCAAAACATGAGCTATAAGGCTGTTTGCAATTGTTGCTATTGAGTATCGTTTTTAAAAGGCCTAGAAGGATGCACTAGTAATGGTACGGAAGAGGGAGGTTCATGTAGCTGGATGCCAATCAAAGGGAGTTCAACCATTTCAGTAATGCATTATTTCTTTGAGTTAAAGAAAGAAGAGGTGAAAGAACTATAACAACCTATGAATAATTGTCAGAACTTTGTTATAGGAACATGGGTGTTATGTTATTTATAATGCTTTTCTTTGTTTTTAAAATCTCTTGAATAAAAAAGGAGTAGAGACAATCTTCATTCATGGAATTATTATACCTACAGGATAGACATCAATTTCTAAGAATGCTTCAGACCTGCCCTATCCAACATATGTGCCCACTAGCACCATATGGCTATTTAAATTTAAATTGATTAAAATTAAATGCAAATAAAAATTCCATTCCTTGGTTGCAGTAGTCACATTTCAAGAACTCAGCAGCCACATGTAGCTAACAGCTACTATGTTAGACAGCAGATACAGATCATGCCCATTGCCACAGAAAGTTCTGTTGGACACCACTGATTTGGAGCATACTTTTAAGAAATGTGAGTATCTGAACTCCCTACCATTCTTCTAAACTTCTGGTCCTAGACAATTCTGCTGCATCATACAAAGGGTACCCAAAATATTTTTTTCACCTTTCTATTTGAGAGCTTAAGTCTTCCATCTTCCAATTACTGAGCCACTAAGGAAATATCTTTTCCAAGGCTCTGACAATCGTTAGCACTGAGTTTCCAACTGTTAATGACACTGGGGATGTTCTCAATTGAGCCCGACTCTACTAAAGATGGTAAATGATAAAACTTCTCTTCCAGGTTTAGGTGTTCACTGCTCAGAATCACATTACCTGTGAATTTAAAGGGGAACAAATGCTGACATCACTTACAAACTAGCTCCTATCCCGGTTTCTTTCTGTTTGTCATAGGTGAACTGCTCCTGCTTTCGAGTATGATTTTCCTGCTCCAGGTGGTGTGCGGCTGCCCAGAGAGGTGCCACTGTCATTCACCTTCAAATTCTGTAGACTGCAGCCAGCAAGGTCTCGCTGAAATCCCTTCCGGTTTGCCTCCTCAGACTCTAACGCTGAACTTACAAGATAACCAGATACATCAGCTTCCGGCTTTGGCATTTAAGTCAGTGCCACAGCTCACAACCTTGAACTTATGCAACAATTCTCTTTCAAATCTGACTCCTGGAGTTTTCCATGGACTTCAGCACTTGCAGGTCTTAAACCTAACCCAGAATTCCCTGCATTCCCTGGAAAGCAGACTTTTTCATTCCCTTCCACAGTTGAAGGAGCTTGATTTGTCATCAAACAACATAAGACACCTTCCCACAACCCTGGGTGAGCCTTGGGAGAACCTAACTGTATTTGCGATTCAACAAAACCGGCTTCAGCAGCTTGATCGAGCCCTCCTAGAATCTATGCCCAGAGTGAGGCATTTATTTCTCAAGGACAACCTTTGGAAATGCAATTGCCACTTGCTCAGTCTTAAACTCTGGCTGGAGACATTCATCTATAAAGGTCAGTAATGTCTATTTGGAAACCTCCATCTGTACATTACTGGCCTAGAATGAACTTCATCTATTCTCTGCTTTTGAAGGAATGTTGGGGAGTGTGTGAGGGGTCCATGTAAGACTTTTCACATTGATGCTATTTCACAGTATGGCAAGAGGCAAGTGAGTCAATAGAGGGGGTTTAGATTCAGGTATGTAAATTCATCTACAAAAATGATTCATGGAGATTACGTTCCACTTTTTGATTAACAACACCATTAAGTTACTTATTTGGAAACTGTAGGCCCTTAAGAAAAAGGGAAATTCAATCACCATCTAAATAACTGCTCAATTCTGAACAGACAACAAATCCTGATTTTCAAGTGTGATCCAACTAGAGGCATGGTATCTCGCTGTAGGATTTCCACCCCCTCTTTGTTTGCCCGTTTGCTTCTGCCCATTTGACAGCTATGAATCTTCCCTAAAATCTTAGAGGATTATCCCTTCTGCTTTAGTAAATGCCGCTGTTACTGAAACCGAATACAACAGGGCCTCCTTCAAAAGTTACTTACTATTTCTTTAACCAGATGTCCAAAGCAAAGCAAGGGATCCCAGAATATTAAAGACGAGTGGCTCTGGAAATCACTCAGGGGTCAGCAACCTACAGCCAAGGGCCAAACCTGGCCCACCTCCTATTTTTCTAAGTAAAGTTTTGTTGGAAGACATCTACACACATTTTATTATGTACTGTCTGTGGCTGCTTTGTACTGCAAGGACAAAGTTGAATAGTTGGGACGGAGACCATAGCAAAACTTAAAATATTAACTATCTGGTTCTTTATAGAAAAGTTTGCCAACACCCTCTAACTCAATGTTAGCCTATTATCAATGGGAAACAAAGACCCAGAGATATTCAGTGACTTGATCACAGTGACAAGATCACAGAATAGAAGCACAGACAAGAAAAGAATGAATGGCTTTAGGTCTTGGCCCTACAGTCTTTCCTCTACATCACGGTGCTTCTTTCCTCCTAACTTTAAAGCATCATTCATTCATTCATCCTATACTTGAGGGCCTCATATGTGCCAGGGACTTTTCTAGGCACTAAGAAAAGGTTAGTAGTCAAGAAAACCCCTACCATCTTGCACATTACATTCTGACAGTAGCAACAGTGGTTGAAAGATAAATATATATCCATGTTCAAATGGTAGTTAGTGCTAGAAGTTGGGTAAGGGGGGGAGAGAGAGTGGTGGGATGGAGGTTTCATTTCAGATGGGAAGGACAGGGAAGTGCTCTCCAAGGAGATGACATGGAGGAGCAGAACTAGAACAAGAGGCAAAATGAGCCATAAAATAATTAGGGGAAAGGACAGCAAGTGCAAAGGACCTGACAGAAAAGTAAGCTTGGCCTGACTGAGGGACAGAAAGACGGACAAAAGCGTGGTTAGAACAGAGGAAGGGAGTGAGAAAGGATAAGGCAGCACATGTACTCAGGGGCCAGGTCACGTCGGAACGCACAGAGCAGGCTGAGATGTTTGCATTTTATTTTAGGTGAGATGGGAATCTCTTAGAGAATCTTAGTCAGGGGAACAATATGACCTGGTTACATTTTAAAAGGTCACTCTGGTGATTGTAGGGAGAGCAGACCAAAGGCTGAAGAAGAAGAAGCAAGGGGATGAGGAAGAAAGTGATTTTAGTCATCCAGGGATGAGATGTTGGTGGCCCAAACCAGGGTGATGAGAAATGATCAACTTTGGGAGATATTTAGAATATTGAACTGATAGAAATTACAAATGGGTTGGAGTGGGAGATAAAGGAAAGAGAGGATATCATGGGAGATCCAATTTTGTTTTGTCCTTCAGGGGTAACCAGATAAATGGTGATGCCAGTTGCTGATAAGGGGGAGGCTGGGAAGTGAGGAAAATGGGTGAGTTTGTGTGGGAGGTGGTAAATCAGAAACTCATTTGGGGACATGTCAAGGCTAAGATGCCCATTACATATCCAAGGAGTGCTGTTGAATTGGTGGATGTATGTGTTAGAGTATAACTCAGGAAGATATCAGAGCTCCAGACATGAATTAGGGAATCAGTAGATGGTTGCAGCAGTTACGAAGAAGGAAGTGGTAAGAATCTGTAACAATATAATAGCCAAGAACGTATCACTAACCAGCTAATACTCAAGTTGGCCTACAGCCGAGGTGACAAATCTTTCTTATAGGAAGTCGCAAATAAAACTCCATCTAGAGGTGAAGTGGCTTTAGTTATTGTGTTCTGGACTAAATGATAAGCATAAGCCAAACCATTGCAGAAAGACGGTTTTCATTAAAGAAAAATATTTCTTGACAAAAAGTAGTTCCTAGGTCCAGAATACTAGAATCAACATGGGGTAGAATATGGCTCCCCCTACTCCACCACAGACTCACTGGTGACCTTCAGGCAAATGAATGCTCCTCACTAGCCCTCAGTGTCACCAGATGGAAATTGCAGTGTTACCTCAGAGAGCTCTTGAGGCCCATTTTGGTCCTCAGATTCCACACTGCAGCTCAACACTTCCTAATTGCAGAGCTGCCCTGCCCAGACAACAGTCTTTCTCTGGAGGAAGGCAAAATTGGTCTGGGATAACAAGATTTGGGTGTCCCAAAATAAGTAAATAAAACCTCCAAGTAGATGTTAAGTGGAGACAATCTGACTACTGATGCACTGAATAAAGACAAAATATGAGAATAGATATTGGTCAAGACCTTATTTAAAAAAAACAAAAATACATACAAACACTAACGGTATGACTCAGGACAGGCAGTTTGATGTGACAACCATCTCAGTGATGCACACAGTAAAGGTCTGTTGCTCACTCATGTTAGAGTAAAGCAAGTAGGGGGCTAGGGCTGGGATCCATGCAGTCATTTAGGGACATAGCCCCTTTCAGATTTTGATATTGCCAACTTTACCATGTAGCCTCTCAGGTCACAACCAAGGGTGAACAGAATACATGGAGGATGAAGCAGGGGGTTTTGTGGCCTGGAAGTGTCATTCATTGGTTCCACTGGTCAGAATTCAATCATGTGGCCCCAATCTGACCACAAAGGGTAGGGAAATTTCATCTTTCTTTGGGCCCAATAGCCAAAAAAATGCTCTGATGAATACCTGATAATGTCTCCTTCACAAAAATATGCATATAGATTTTATAATTAGTATTCCTCTTTTTCCATTCATAAGTAAACAAATCATCTTTATGCTGATAGCTAACTATATTAAACATTTATTCTGGGCTAGGAGTTGTGCTAAATACCTGATAAACTTTGTCCAACTAAGTTCTCCAAGCAATCTGGTGAGATGAATTTCACTATTACCCCAGTCTCCTGCTTTCCAGATGAGCAAGCAGAGGCACAGATTGGTCAAGTAACTTGCTTAGGGTCACACAACTAAGTAAGGGTCAGACTTATTGAATCCAATCTATTCCGAGACAGGGGTTAAGAGCTATTAGTCGTCAGATGGGGGACATGAGTGCTTGGTGAGCTGGAGCTTCTTTCCTTGTCGGCTTCCATGAATCTAAAAAGGACTGAGACCCTTAAGCTGTCATCTGCAGATATGCCTCTTGGAGTCCTCACAGAGGACATAGTGATAGAAGGCTAGGATGTGAGTCCTGGCTGAGGACACAGGAAGCCATGGAGCTCTTGGTGGCCACACCCCTGCCTTGCAGCCATGTCCTAAGCTAAAGCCTGTGTGTTCCTTCAACTCTGGGTCCCAAGGTCGTGCCTCCCACCCTAATATTAAACAGCAAGAAGCCTGGAACTGGAGAAAGACAGTGCTGAAGCCTGGAGTGATAAGGTGAACCACCCCAGTCTAGTCTAAGTCTGCTGGGGGAAATCTCTGGTCCCATGGCAGGCGGCCTTTTTCCCCCTGGTAGACTTCTCAGTGCTCTTTGGCTGGGTTAAACATCATTACTTCTTCTCAAGGCCCCACATTTCTTTTCTGTCTCTCTGGCCTTCTGTCTTACAACTAAACCCAGGCACAGTATTGAAATAGTCTGTGAGACAGGGACCCTTAATCACGGCGCAGCCTGATGGTGGCTTGGGCTCATCCAGAGCACCTACCCTGCACCTCTGGCTTCCTGCACATCAGCTCAGGAAAGGAGAGAATTCCTCTGTTACCTTTTTGCTTTAGAAGTGAAGCCCTTGCCTCAGGAAATCACTGAAGAAGCCAGGAGGGGCGCAAGAGACTCTGGCAATAGGCAATTCAGTTCAAGCAGTGACAGCAAAAAAGGTATGGGTTAAATTTTGCCATGGCCATTAACCCTGGTGTGATCTGGGCCACCATAACCCTTGGGCTGCAAAATGACTGACCTACTATTGGGCCATTGTTGGACTTGGCTTATAAGGCTCAGACAGAATAGACATGAAAGTATTCCCCAAACTCTGAAGTGCTATACTATGGAAAGCTCTACTATTGAAGTGACCACCTCCTGCATGTGACTTTCTAGTATAATTTCATAATTCACCTATGGTGTGTACAAAGGCTCTCCAGTCTATCTTGGCTAAGAGCGGTGCCAGGCTTCACAGCCATCATCGGGGAGGAGTTCATGGCAGCTGAGGGAACTGAGCCACAGGTCATGGGAGTGAGGTTCTACTAAGGGTCATTGCATTAACTCCACTGACCTCAGGATGCTCCTGAAAGGAAGAAGCAAGTGTAGTGGAAAAAACTGGGATTACAGGGGAGGGCTGGGTTTGTGTATTGATCCATCCAGTTAGACCTGAATGACCTTGGATGAGAAGTACCCATTATGGCAGAGCTGTGAGGACATACCTAACAGTGTTTTGTAAACTACCAAGTCAGATACAAATAGGATGTTTTCATGGCAAGAAACTTAGTCAGAGAAGTTTATCTGCCTGAGGTCAAATAGTAAATCGGTGGTCAAATTTGGCCAAAATGGAATCTGTTAGCCCACTGCTCTTTCTAGAAAAGAACTCTACTAGGAACTCAAATCCCCTTGAACAACAGTAGTCCACATACCTGAGGAAATCAATCCCCTTACAGAGAGTGGAAATTGAGTCTAATAACCTACTAAAAAGCTTGGCACTCAAAGTACTAAATGTTTCAAGGTCTGAGGAGACACGTTAATTGTACTTAATTCCCTGAACTAAACTCATATTCCTGTCAAATCTTCAGATACACAAAACACTCACAGGATCACTGACCTCCTCGTTTGGCATCACTGAAGAGTGTTGGTAGAGACATAGGGTCTTTGTAATTAATATGTAACATCACAACAAAGGACATTTGTTTTATTTATTTTTTAGATCTCCAGTGGGAATTTGGCACAATAGATTTTTTGTGTGCCGGGGCTCATTAGGGGTGTGTAACAGCGCCCTCAGGCTGGCCTCCAGCGCCCCTTCCTATCAGCTTTTGCATTGTTTTTCCCTCTGCATTTATAAGGTAAAGGTGACTTGGCTTACTAATGAATTCTTGGTCATACATAATTGCCCATTTAGTGTGTGGCATTTTTAGCATTTAGCCAATTTAGAAATCCTAAAATCATAAAATATAGTTGTTAAATTCTTTGACTCCAGGGGAAAAAAGAGTTGTTTTATAAATTCCATCTGCCTAAGTTTTTGGAGGCTGAAGATGTGGAAATTCAGTTGTATCAGGCTCTGTTATCACTGTTTGCTTTTGTTTCTTAAAGGGGGAATAACAGACAGTGTCATCTGTGTGTCACCGGACACCTGGAAGGGAAAGGACCTCCTTCAAATCCCTCATGAGCTGTACCAGCCCTGCCCTTTTCCTTCTCCAGATCTGGAGTCCTCACAGGTGCAGCAGCTAGGTGCTACCCATCGGGCTGTCCCCAGGCCTCCGGAGAGCCACAGCGCGGGGGAGCGAGAACATTGGGAGTGTGAGATCAAACCCAAGCCAAGGCCAGCCAATCTGCGCCACGCCGTGGCCACCATCATCATCACCGGGGTGGTATGTGGGATTGTGTGTCTCATGATGTTGGTGGCTGCCATCTACGGCTGTACCTATGCGGCTATTACAGCCCAGTACCATGGGGGACGCTTGACTCAGACCAATGAGCCTGTGAAAACAGAAGGAAAAGAACTCTTTGACAGCTCACCAGCCTGAAACCATTCATCCCAAGTAGCAGTAATCATTTTTGGCCAGAAGAAAGTATCTGAGTAGGGCTGATGTGTTCCCTGTTACTGCTTTATTTTGTTTTTTCCAAAAAAAAAAAAAGACTTATCTGTTAAAAAAAAAATTCCTGGGAAGAAATCTGTGTTGACATTTTTAAAAATACCATAGTTGAAATAGAGATGATACTTGTGCTCTGTGCCTGAGAAGTTATCACAATTATTCTGTGTGGGGAAGTCTGTCCACAGAGAAAGGGACAATACATCTCTTTCAGGTACTCTTCACCATATTAAGTTGCTTTTACAGAGCAGCAAAAATACAAACACGTGTGCCAGTCAGCATTCCTGGGAGCTTTATGGTCCACTGGAAAACTGTCCAATTTTGAGCACCTGGGAAGAAGTTGGCGATCTTATCCAAGGGGCATTGAGTGCTTCAATAATCCAAGTTCATGCTAGATCGATGATACTTTTAGATGTTATGTATGTTATATATTTAACGGGAGCGTCTGTTGGTTGAGAAATTCGTAGCCTGCCACAAGTCAAATTATATTTATTTTTCTAAGTCAGAAAACCATTTGGGGCTTTGTAGGCCACAGAGGAAGAGGAGGGCTCCACGACTGGATAATAGGACTCAGGCCCAGGTCTGAGGATGTTTCCTGATGCAAGGGTAAATAACATATAAACAAACACAAGCAGGATAGGGAGGCGGAATTCAGGGCACATATTACTGAAAGGCCATATCCACCAGGCGATTGGAACCTTCCATTTATAACTCTCACAGCAGGAATAAATTTAGGGTGGGCTAAGAGCGAAATAATGGCTTGTGTGTATCTCTATCTATGTACATAGTGTGCAGAGTGCATAGACTTGTACAACCACACCCACACATAAACATACTCAGAGCAATCAGTTTACCCACTAATGAAATGCAGCCGCGGCAGGGTGGGAGCCAGCAGCTGTTGACCACCACCCAGACTGTCTACTCAACACTCTGGGATAGGAAGTCAGAGGAAGGCTGAAGAGAGTGGGAATTATCAAGAGACTTGAGATCTGTGGCAACAGCCGTCCCAAACATTATGTAGGCCAGGGATTAAAAAAATCAGGTGTGGGTTGCTTGACTCCACAGACATGGTCCTGAAGAGCTGCATGCAAAGGGAATTTTTGTAAATTGAATCATCATTTTAATGCAGTAGGGGAGCTCGCTATTTAAAGGAACCTTTCATGGAATCTTTCTGTAATGGCAATAATTGGCTCCAGATTTATGCATTTTGTGAATTTGCATCTTCTCATGCTAGGTTTTCTTAAAGTGGAATCTACCTGCTCTCTCTCATGATGCCCCATTTTATACTTAGAGTCACCTGTTACTATTAAAATCATTTTGTGCAGAGGAGTTAAGGACTTGGCAAAAATAGAGAATGGCAAGCTATCCATCCAGAGGTCTTGACAGACATCACTAATCAATCCCAGCACTCATCCCAGCTGAGCCTTGATGCACCACAGATGCCTTCTTAAGACAGCACTGCAGGCAACCAGAACTAATCAACTGGAGTTGGTTCAAAGGATAAAACATATTTGCCATCCAGGGTACTGGCTCTATATCCACTCCTTCAGGCCATGTTAAAAACTTGTTTTGGATCCTAAATCAGTAGTCCATTCCCTAACCTGGTATGTGAATGGGAGGTCCACACAGGCAGGAACATTGTCTCCCTATCTGATGAGGCCAGAGCCTTGCCCAACAGTGTTAAAGGGGCCAAGAGAAACAGACAGATGAAACTACCCCAGTTTACCCTACAGGATACACACATCAGAGGCCATCTATACCTGCTCATAGTGCTTCACAACTAGTGTGGGCCCCGCACACACCCAGAAGCTGAAGATGGGCATCTCTTTGGAGCAGCAATTTTGCTGAATGATCTTTCTCGGGGAAAAAGTATAAATCTGATATTAATTTTTTCCAAATATTAAAATAAACCTGGATACATACATTAAAGAATAGATTTAAAAATTAGCATGGATTTTAAGATCAAAAAGAGACCCCAGAGAAAGTGGGCTGTTGCATCAGCTCCATCCAGAGCTCTGATGCCTCCTTTCTGCTCTGCTTCATGCACCACTTCAGTGGGCGAGACTGACCATCTGGTTGGAAAAAAATCTTTCTTTCCCTTGCCCTGGAGTGTGAGTCCTTGGCCAAGGAAGCAATAGGAGAAAGGAAATTGAGAAGACTTTTTTATACATCATCCTTATTTCACCAAATGTTTCTAGAGTTCATGCTTTGTACCAGGCATGGTGAGGGGTGTTCTCATGACATTCATGCAATCTTGGCAACAACCCTGTGAGATACTTGAACAGATATTACATAAGCTGGGAACTACTGAGGCCAATAATGGTGCCTCCTCTCACTGCTGTGATTTAAAACATCCAGTGCACTGTGCTCTGCCAGAGGTCTAGTGACTGTGCAGGTCTACCCTGGCCCCCTGCCCTCAGGGATCACACAAGAGAGCTTCCAATCCACCACAGAAAACCCTGAATGTGGCTAGAATCCTCACTCCTCAATACACATGTCCTATTAGATTTCTTAGCACAGATGGTAACTCAGGCAAACAGATTCCTGCTTTATGAGTAGTCTTTAAGGAGAATGATTAAAACTATGCCTGTGTATATTCAGATTTCTGTCTTTGCCTACAGTCACCACCGACAGCAGTTGGTGATGAAAATAATTACCTACCCTAAAATGTCAACAAGCCTCTCAGCACAGAAAAATATAAATCAAATTGTTTAGATTAACAAATGCACAGTTATCATTTGTTAATATGAGAAATGAAATGTTTTCACTGTAAAAAACATCGCAGATGAAAGACCCAATTTGCAGGGTATTCTGCAAGAACCACAAATTATCTTTCACAACCACTACAGCTCATGAGGGATAATTTGCAAACGCCTCATAGATTATTTTCAGCTGCTTATTGCTGCTGTCATATTCATAGATTCCCCTATAAAAATGCCCTTCCATCACAGAGCCTTGCTGAAGTAATACTGTGAACAAATACCACGTTTAGTGTTGACTGTTTCTGAGAAAACCATGTAAAATATAGTTTCTTCATCATATTTAGTGAAACAGTGTCACCATTTTTGCTTTGCCAGAGATCACAAATTCACAGTAATAGGGCCCAACAGATATGAGGCATTTAAAGAGGGCGACATAGGGAACTATGTTCAATATCATGTAATAACCTTCAATGAAAAAGAATATGAAAACAAATATATGTATGTATATGCATGACTGGGACATTGTGCTGTACACCAGAAATTGACACATTGTAATTGACTATACTTCAATAAATTAAAATAAAAAAAGGAGACAAAGATGGTGTATAAGGAATCTCTGACCTAGTGACTGTGGAGATAAGAAGATTGTCTCAAATCTATACTTGAAAAGCTTTTAAAATTAAGGCAAATATCCCTGACCCTGTGGGACGAATCTTGTATTTCAGATGATAAGATGCTAATGGACAACTGGGTATTTTATTTTTTTTTTTACAAAAAGGAAAGACTGAAAAGTGATTCACAGGACTTCCCCTTGAAGGTTCATGAAAATCAAATCTCATTACTCAAATTACCCTGGAAATAAGACACTCATGTCCTAGACCCTAAATATCAAAGGAAGTGGCCCAATCAATTTCTAAAATACTCTATCTGTAGCACCGATTATCATAATTATACAACTGTTAGAAACCTATAACTTTCTATGGCAGATCAGGAAATAACTGTTTTCAGTTGGGTCAAACCCATCAGTGTATTCATTGCTAAATCCAATTAGACAGAACCTACCAGAAAATTATATACCAACCCCACATGGAATCACTGGGCTGTGGTTTATATGCACAACTTCAGAGAAGTTTCCTGTTTTCCCTTGTAATGAAAACAATTCATTTATTTTTTTATGCTCAAATTGCAATGAGGTCTCAAAGAAACCTCTCTCCCATTCAGCAGGCAGCTTTGTAACCCCCTACTCTCTTTTCAGATTCTGACTGGAGTATCCACACCTACTTTTGACCACAATGACATTGAGTATTCATTTGTGTGGATACGATGTCACCTAGTTTCAAAGGCCCATCAAGAAAAGCCAGAAAAAGAACCAGAGGATTTGGAGCCGGGAAGGTCCTTGGAGAACATTTAGTCTAGGCCTGGCAAATTTTGAATAGCTGTGACCAGTCTCCCTACCCATTTCAGACATTACTAACAGATCACGGCAAACTTCCATACTGAGCCCAGCCAAGGCTTCAGAATCCTTTTAAATCTGTTTTCTAGCTACCCACTCCTGATCACCTGAAGTTGACTTCTGAAACTAAATCTATTTGCTACCCTGATATAGAACGATGTTCTTATTTTGCAAATGGGAAATAGAAGCATGGAAAAGGAGAGAAAATTTTCCAAAGTCACACAGATAATTATTTGCAGGCCTGACAAATGCAGTTGCAGGAGCATGGGGTTACCATGGATAATAACAATGAACCCTTGTCATTCTTCATTTATTCTTGTGAACCACAATATTAAGACTATGGCATTATTATATTAATTCACTGCATACCAACAATTATAATACCACCATCGACTTTTAATTTAGCACCCAGTTTTGTGCCAGTTGTTTTCCAAGTGTAATATTTTCATTTTCTCTAAACCTCAAATTAACCAAAACATGTGGGCATTTTAATGCCACATGACAGATGAAGATACATAATCACTGGGTTTGATCCATTTGTTCAAGGTCACATTACTAATAAGTAGTGGAGAAGGAATTTGAATCCAAGTCATTCCAAGGTCAAAACCTGGGTACTTATCAGGATGTGACAGGTTTGAAGAACTGAAAGTTGGGATCCTTTCCTGGCACTGACAGCACTTACCTTAAAACATGGCAGAAAAAAGGAACCCAACCACCAACCAGTGTGTCACTACTAGAGCTCTGGTTCCACCAACACCCAAGAAGCCAGCTGAGGAAGCCAAAGCAAAATGGGAAAACGGGGGTCCTTTTATCACCATGACTCTGGTGGGCTGAAAAAAAATGTTCTAGAATGGGAGAGGAAGAAACTCAGCCACATTCTCTAACAGCTATTTGAGAAAATGGTAAAATTAGATGTTGGCTAATGAGTAGTGTTTCTCACTAAAATAGTCATGAGTACACAGAGGAAGAAAAAGTTATGAGGATACTAGAAATCAGGCATCCTGGTCATTGATATTCAAGTCTCCAGGAAGAGTGTCCATAATTCAAGCAGAAATGCGACCTTCAAGCAGATGAGTGGGATGTAAAGGAAGAGAGTACCAGTCTACACTACCCATCCTCATGCTGGTATTCCTTCCTCCGAGACAGTGAGCTTCAAAAAGCAGAGGGAAACAATTCCCCCCTCTATGTATCTGAGGACATTTGACTCCCACAACACCTGCCATTAAGACCTTGAGGTCTTTATCCATTAAGAATGAAGAATGTCAACAACATAGGGCATAATAGGATGATAAAAGAAAGGGAAGATGATAGGTACAGTCCAGGGCTATAGTTTTTGTCTACTGTTTCTTGTCAGGAATGAAAACTACAGACTGCTTTGGCTTATCCAGGTTAAGTAGTCAGATGATCAGGCAGCAGGAGGTGGCTTCCCTTACCAACCCTGCAATACCACAGTAAACACAAGACATCCAGACGCTGGATATTTGTCTGGGTTGTGTCCATCTTAGTCTTCAAGGAGTACTCTAAAGTCAACAATAAGGGACTGTTTACTGGCAAAAACCCTTATATTCTAACGATGACTAAAATTAAGAAAGAAATCTGACTTGGAGCCTCCTAAAAGATAATTAAAATTAAAAGATAATTAAAAAAAGGAAAAAATAAATCAAGGCAACATTGCCCTCAAGATACAGAAGCATGAACGACCTATTTTACAACATGTCCCAATACACTTTTTAAAGTTTCTGGTTGGATTTGGTGTACCTTATACACACACAAGCTCTGTTGGCAAAATCACATCCTATGGCTAAGGTCAGAGTTTGTGAGGCATAGAAGCATACAGCTCCAGTAGGAAGCTTCACCCATTCCAGACTCCCAGAAACTGTAAGATAATGCATGTTTGTAGTTTTAAGCTGCTAAGTCTTGTCACAATTTGTTGTGTAGCAACAGATAACTAATACCCAGGCCACTGGGAGAGCTGGAGCTTTTAACTCTGAGTAAACTGTGAAGCCAATAAAGGGTTTTGAAAAGAGGAGTGACATAATATTACTTATCTTTTAACATGATTGCTGTGGCTCCTATGAAGAATAGATGGAGGGGGCCAGAGACAAATGGAAGACGGCAAGGGAACCACTGCAACAATCCAGGGGACAGATGAGTGTGGACTGGCCCAGTGAGGTGTAGTGGGGATGCTGAGAAGTGATCAGGTTTTGTACATAATTCGAAGAAAGAACCAACAAGATGTATAGATAGATTGGTTATGGGTAGAAGAAAAAGAGAAGAGTCAAGAATGACTTCAAGATCCTGATTCAAACAAACATTAAGAAAATAAAAAAGCACTGCCCAGGTAATATATAACTAAGAATTGTTTTTAGGTGCAGTAATGGTATTGTTATATTAAAATACAAGAAGTCTTTATCCTTTAAAGATGTATCCTGAAATATTGATGGATGAAATTATTGAATGATTAATATCTGATTTAAAATAATATGGATGGGATGGACATGGATTGGGGGGGTTGAAGGGCACAATGGCCATGGGTTGTGAATAGCTACTAGGAGTAAATGAAGGATACATGGGGTTTCTTATGTTTCTATCTACTTTGGGGTATATTCAATATTATCCATCACAAATGTTTTTAAAAAAAGAATGGCTCCAAACTTTTTCAACTGAATAACCAGATAACTGGAATGACTTCAGTCTGGAATCAATAGCACTTGATGGGCCTATTTAAGGAGGAGTAGAGACTGAGTAGCAAGGGAGAGTCAAGGAAGAGCAGTCTGGCTTGAGAATCACCAGCTCATATATGGCATTAAAAGCCTTGAGAATGGATAGGAACCCTGGGGCCCTCCAACATGTACAATCAAGAGATGAACAAAATCAGCAAAGGAGACCTAGGAGGGTGGGCAGTGCAGTCAGCAAAGAACCAAGTAAAGAGGTACTTCAAGGAGAATATGATCAACATGGTCAAGTGTTGCTGAAAGACCAAGAAAAATGAACATTTGAAGTTCAATATTGGACTTGGTAATATGGAAGCTACAGGTAGCCTTGATGAGAAATGATTCACTGTGGATAAAACCTGATTGGAATGGGTTCCAGAAAGTATGAAAGAGAAGAAGTAAGAAGAGCACAAAAAAGTGAAAAATAACACAAATAACTTATTAACAAAAATAATTTTGGCTTAAAAAACCTGACTAAAACAGCAAAAATCTGGAAGTTGGTAGAAGGCAGCTAGTGAAGTAAAAGCATATAAAATGACCATGGACTATATTTTCATTCTGAACTTTCTTTTTATATTTCAAGACAATTGTACACTCTTATCCCCATGAGCCTGGTCACATATAATTTGGCCTTGAAGTAGGAACAATATTCAGACACTGATCCTGACCTCATGAAGATCTTTCACCAGAACAGAAGGCAGGAGCCCTTGGTGAGCACAAACTGTGGGAGGCCATGGGAATAAAAAGCCTTTGATCAGCACTGTCCCTTTCCCACCAAGCTGGTGAAAGCATTCTCCATGAGCAACCATCAAAGTGTTTATGCTCCTGCTGCAGCCTCTGCTCATGCGCTCTCTTCCCAGAGAGGGGAAATGCTCTGCAGCTCACTTATCCTCTCAGGCCCTTCACTTAGTGTGAGTCATATATATTCTAGTCTTAACCGAGATCAAAATCCTACCAAGGTCACTAGGAGATTTGCCTGGATAAAGGCGGCTAAATAAATCCCCAAATCTCTCATGAGCCATGTACAGGGAAAAAATCCTAGAAACTGTTTTCCACCAAAGCATGTGGGCATTTCCAATGTTCTACCAAGCATTATGCTGATTATACTGTTCAGAGGTTTATAAACTGGAGAGAAGATTAAGTAAATTACTGTCTTCACTGATAATGAGAGCATGTATTTTTAGAAAATCCAGGATCTTTGACTGGGAATCTGTATAACCACATATACAAAAATATTAGGCACAACTGATGGACACTTTCTGATACAGGAAGTTCTGTCTTCAACATCTACTTACACAGTCCCTGATTTAAATATCCCCTTCATTTTTTAAAAGATAAAAAGATGGTGAAATAAATGAGTGAACAAATTGTGTTTTAGGGGTGTGTG